AATATTTTTTGGAAGTAGAGTTATCTTTTTCCTTAACTGTATAATTGAAAATTTTTTAGGGCAAAAAAAAACTTATAAAAAAAATAACGGGGCAGGGAAACAGTCTTGTCGTGCGCCCGGCCCCTCCTTGTCTAAGGTGGGGAGGGGCGGGGCGCGGGGCAGGGCAAAGCGTGGGAGTGGCGGGGCGCGGGTAGGGGCGCCCCGCCCCGAACCCGTCCCGTTGCCATCCCTAGGAAGTAGTTTAAGGAATTAATATTACTTAAGAACCATATATTTACCTAACCCATTTCTTGGTCCAACTAATTCTTAACATATTCCTATATATATGTTGTTTTGTGTGTGATTTGTGTATGAATTGGAGAAAAAAAGTGGTTGCGCTCAATGAAAAATTCGACTGCCATAGCAAAGAAAAAATCGAGGACTCTCTTTGTGTATTTGGCCTTCTCTTTGTACTTTCTTCATTGTATTTCTCCTTGCCTTTGTAGCTATAAATCAACACCATTATTTTGTTCTTTGAGGATGAGATTGAGAAGCAGCCAAAATAAATATTAGTTGTGGGTAGGAGCCGTTTGAATTGGTTGTTTGGTAGAGAAATGTAATGTGAAATTGAACCTAGAAAACACCATTTAAAAGATCTTTGGAGAGAGCTTCCGCGACAATTGGTATTAGAGCTTCAAGGTGGTCGACTTGGTTAAAACATCTTACCAAAAACCAACCAGAAAATAGACAGAATCGAAGCAGAAAAGGGATACGAGAAATTGCCCAAAAAATGTAAAAAAACCGAGGCTATTTTCTTAATTTTTGGCCAAACTACTCACCTGGTGGAAGAATGGAGACCACTGCTGTAACGTGCAAGCGGATGCAGTTCTGGCGGTCGGCATGTATCACTAGTGACGACGCGTGAAGCCCACGACAGAGACTCCAGGTGGCGCCTTGTGGGCACGTGCAGTGGTTTTTGGCGATGTTTTCTTTAGGTAGTTTGTTCTTGACATTTTTCTGACATTTTGATGTTGTTAACTTTTTGTTTCAGATTATACAGTGAAATTTAGACGATTTTGCTCTTAGCGCATTTGGATTTGATCGTATTTAATTAATTGCTACAGTTGCTGGAGCTTTAGGGCGAATATTGGTGGCCATAAAAGTTTGTTAAGTTTGCATCTCTCGAAATTCATGGACCTTTAGACGTGGTCCGCTCTTGTATATTGCTTATCCAATTTTAAAGTTCAACATTAGTGAGTCGACGTGTGGGATGACATTAGGAATGGGGTTACTGTGTGAGGTAACCATTGCTCGTGCTAGAAATTTAGGAATTATTTGCTCTATTTAAAGTCCTGAATTGCAAGTTGATATTGGTTTTAAGTTTAATTTCCATTAAGTCATTGTGAGATTCGTTACGTGAGGAACTAAATTTTTGTTGACATACTTTCATGTTACATTGATTATTCAGTTAGAAAACGGACTCGACCCATTTATCCATTCCTTTGATATTGAAATCGTGAATCTCACGAAACCCCGAGAATCTAAAACGGTGTACATTACGGCCTTAGGATTACTTTGTACAACTTATTTGTCCACTTTGGTTGTTCTATTCTTTCGAAATTTCTTCCCATTTCAAAGTTGGAATTTTTTATGGAAAATGAAAATTTTTCAATTTGATAACAAAAGATGAAGGGAATTTTGGTTCAACAAAAAATTCCAAAAGCCGTAAATGGCAATTTTCTCGTTGATTTGATAGAAGCACAAAAGAAAGAATATGATAAACTTGGTTACACTTCAATTATTTTACACTTATCTAATACTATTTTGAGAAAATTTGGAAAACTTGATTTTACAAAAGAATTTTGAAAAAAGTAGGAGGACTTATATTTGCAGACTACTCCTAATAAATTGTACTTGCTTAAAATATGTTTCAATTTTAAAATGGATCCTTCAAAGGATTTTGATGACAATTTGGATGTTTTCAATAGGTTTGTTCAAGATATTGTTAATTGTGATGAAAAGGTGTTTGAAACATATAAGACCATTATTTCGCTAAATTCTATGCCTGACTCATAAAGGGAGGTTAAGAATGAGATTAAGTATGACATGTACATCTTAACACCCGAAATGGTCACAAATTCCCTTAAGAGTAAAGAGGTAGAACTTAAGGTTGCAAAAGATGACAAGAGGAGTGGTGAGATACATATGATGAGGAGTAGAGTGAAGTTTAAGCAAATAAATTTGGGTAGAGCTTAAGACAGTAGTGATTCGAGTGATGAGAGTTGTAAGAAGTAGGGCAAGGACTGAGACAAATCCAGTGGTAAACGGTGTAATAGATGTGGTAAGTCTAAACACTTTGTGAGAGTGTGTTCCAAAAAGAAGGATAAGTATAAGGGTAAGATGAGAGTGAAGCAAATGTGGCTATAGGGCCGAGTGATGACTTTAGTGAGGTTTATTGAGAGTAAACCTAGTTAATGCATGTGCATTTACAAGTAATCTTTTTTGCATGTGTGTGATTTCTTAATTCTTTTGTATGATTATATGTTGCATTTCAATGCGTTTGATATATGCATTTGCATGAATTTGAGAGCAGTCTAATTACTTGGTGTAATGTGTTTGCATGTATAGTGGGTTGGGATACATTAGCAGTAAGTGTGTTGTGTGTCTTTTGGTAACTTGGTGTATAGATGTTTAGATGTACATTGGTGGTATGTATTGAGGATGTGGAGTGTGATATTTGGATCACGCGTGGAGACGTGAATGTTTGGAATCCTTTATATGTGAAAGATCATGTATTGGTGGAGTGTGAGAGAGACACTTCTATCGATTATGTTAGGTGGAGATCCATTATCAACTTAGGTTAGGAGAAGTGAGGTGGTGATAGAGGATAATCCTATGGACTTAGGATCTATTGTAATTTACTAGTTAAACATGAGTTGAGTGATTACTCTAGTGAGCATCGTGAGCTATGAGAGGAGACGTGTTCTCAAGGTGTAAACAACATGAAATGGGATAAGATAAGTGTGGTAAGATCTTTTCGTAGGGTCATTTAAGCATTTATTATATATGTATTTGATTGATTAACTTGGTGATAATCCGAGGTTCTTTAAAAATGTGTTTGAAAAGATTTATGTTATCTTATATTATATCTTCATCGTATGTTTATTTGCTTTTGGTTGGTTATTGTGATTACCTATTTTCTACTTCGGTATTTTCTTGACCTTAGCTTTGGTGAGTACACGGAGTAGGTATGGTATGTGTTTCGGGTTCGAAACACGAGGTAAGGTCTGTGATTTCAATTTTATTGGTTATCTTGATTATGTAAGTATTAACTTTGTGTTTTATTTATTTGCTGATTCATTGGGTATCAAGGTGGAGATTTGTTGGGTTTAAATACCTAATAAATCTCGGATTATGATGTAAAACGTCAGAATATAATTTCACAAGCCTTGGCTAACGGTGAATTAATTACCAACAACCAAGTCTAAAAACTCAACTCAAAAACAACATGGACCGTTGGAAGTAGATTAAGGAATTAATATTACTCAGGCCCACATATTTACCAATTGGATGTCTTTTAATCTTGGCTTATTCAACCTCTTTATTGGTCCAACTAAATCCTAACATGTTCCTATATATATGTTGCTTTGACCTAGCCGTTTTGTGTGTGATTTGGAGAAAAAAAAACATGGCTGCTCTCTAAGTGAAAAATCTGGCTGCCATAGTGAAGAAAAAACCGGTGACTCCCCTTGTGTATTTGGCTTTCTCTTTGTCCTTTTTTCATTGTTTTCCTCCTTGCCTTTGTGACTACAAATTAACACCATTATCTTGTCCTTTTTTAGTGAGGCTGAGAAGCAATCGAGGTAAATATTGGTTGTGGTTAGAGTCGTTTGGATTAGTTGTTCTGTAGAGAAAGGTAACGTGAAACTGAGTCCAGAAAACGCCGTTTAAAAGATCTTTGGAGCGAGCTTCTGCGATAGGAAAAAAATGTCTGTAAGAGAAAATTGACTTGTCTTATTTGTACAACTTGTTATAAGCATGTTCAGGAAACATATAGCATGCAACTTCCTCTACTTGCAACAAAGACTACATAAACTCGAGATAAAGCTAAGGAAGCTAGAAATAGCAGTAAGTTATGACAACGCTCGCAATAGTGTAACTAAAACCTTATATTACAAGATTTAGTTGATATCATCAAAGTCTTATCTTCCTTCACTTAAAATGTTAATAAATTCCCAAAACTATATATATCTATTTGATGAATTCAATTAATGTTTGGAGTGAGAGGCTGAAGTTTTCGATAGTGTAACAAAACCTTGAATTAATCACTTGAACAAGATTCATCAGGCAAGTCAAAACGTTATCCAAAAACTGTCAAAACCTTTATCTCTATTTGTTCACATTGTCAAATTTCCAAAACTACAACGCGAGAATGATTTTATTGTCTGTTGTGGAACCTCAAGAATTATTCTCTTGATATATGTTCTCGTCTCTTGATGGCAAGTTATTACTCATTTAAGAAGACAAGAACCCGAAGGGGCCGTTATTTTCCTTTCTTGATGTGTGCAAATGGGCCTTGACACTTTTATTTTCTCCCTTTCTTGACTGTTATGGTGGTCTATTTGTGTGTCTGTGTGTGTATAAGAGAGAAAAATGGTTTCAAGGTTATTTTTTCCAAGATGTATACTAAAGAGAGGCTTGTGGCTGGTTCACATAACATGAATAAGTTCGTTCTCAACAATGCTGATGAGATTGGAAGAGTAAGGACCATCAAGAGTATTTGACTACTAGTCAGTGCCTGAAAGGCCATTGAACACACAGTGTGGTCTTAATTAAATCTCCACTAAAAATAGGATTGAAAAGTTGATTATGTCGTGCATATAACGGAAGAGTGCGAAATTTGTTGTTGCAATTTGTAATTAAAATTGTTAATTCAAGAGAAGAATTTCAAGTGAAAAGTCTTTTATGAATATTCAACTTCCTGATTTTGGAGAGGCTTGGTAGATGAGGGTGAACGCCTTGTTGTCTTTCTTCCTTGCATCCTTCAAACTATAGAGTGACCAAATTATGTTGCTCCATGTAGCATTTCTTTACGATCTCCCAAGCATCTTGCGACCCGAGCAATGCCTTCATCCTTCTGTTCCAATTGTCGTATTCATCCTTGTTGAGTTGAGGGACTTGAAATGGAATCATCCCACTTGCCATTTTTCACAAGGACTTTAGGGCTCTGATACCAGTTTGTTGGAGGAAAGAGAGGTTTACTAACTTGGTTTGGCTAAAGCTTCATAGGAATGACAACACTAATAGGAAGAAGTAAGTAAAATAAAAATGTAACTTATATTTTTCAATTTCAAGACTTACACACTTGACTTGACTTATTACAAAATGGAGGGACTCTACCCCTTTATATAGGGTTTACATGAAACTTCTAGATTACTCAATTTCTTAGAGCCTTCTAGACTTCATATTTCATGATGCTTCTAGACCACATATTTGGACTAGATATTTTCCTAAAATATTCTAGATAAAATTTCTAGAACCACATAATCCACTTGACACATTACCATATTTATGACCACATCTTTTACTTAAATATTTACATGGATCTTTTTAGAACATGTTTATAGAAATGTTAGACTTTGTTGGGCTTTTTAATTGAATAGGGCCTATGAGCAAAATTCTTAAGCCCGTATTACTTACTCCAAAATCAAGTTTACTTCTCAACACTAGTCAGATGAACGGCCTACAGAGCAAGCAGAAGTGGGGTGAAAGATGAATAGGTTGTATGTGTACCAAAATTTAAAAGAAGAAAGAACTAGAAGAAGTGGAATCTGAGGGAGAACAAGCATGGAAAGGGATAATGACATTAGCTATGTGTGTTAAAATCCGAGAAGGATGGAACCAGTAGTTTTATGTTTGAGCAGATTATAATCAACGACTTTAATCTGATTAGGATACCATGTAATCGTACGGTAATCGATCTGCAAAAACTAGAAGGATGTAATTCAGTTGTAGAATAGTTCAATTGTAGAAAGGTTGAATCTGTAAGTTTTTTTATTTAATTTTTCCTCTAACAAAATTTACAGACAAGTTTAACTTGTTGTATCCTGCTTAATGTCTAATATACTGATAATGAATGATTCTTCACTTTTGTTTGAGTTCTAGTCCACTAAAATGGTATCTTTTATGTACCATATAAAGTGCGAAAATAGAAAGCGTATGAACTGGCTCCATGTTCAAAACAATTTTCTGAGAGCTGCTGATTACTATTTTACTTTATTTAACTATGAACTATTCATATTTAAATTGTATTCCGAGGGCTCTCACTAATCTAGAATATGGGTTATGTCCCTAGATGACTGGAGACAATTCTGTATAGCATTTTCTTCAATCATTATTGGAAACGTGGATGCTGTTCAAATAGTTATTTTTCCTTATGCATGATATTTTAAAACTAATTTAGGGATCTTTTAAGAAGTTCATTCAGCTAAGTGACCATTTCATTTATCCGATCTAAATATGTGTTGTTTCTTGATTTATCTGCACCTTGCCTTTTGTTTTACTTCCTATAATTTACTTCCATTGACGTGCTATTATTTGTAGTAGGGTTCATAAAATTTTATAAATGCATAAGATAGGATTAAATACTAGATTTTAGGGAAAATGGGTTGGGATTGGCTTTATTAACAAAGTTGAGTGGGGGATTATCGGCCTTCTGCCTTTCCCGTGGTTCGTTTAAGGGGTCTGCCCTTCAATTGCTCAGATACTGACACCTTCAAGTTCTTTGCTGGCCTGGACATTATTGACGTCTTTTTGGTAAACAAGGATGGGCGATTCTCTGGAGAAGCTTTAGTGGTCTTTGCAGGACCACCTATGCAGGCGGATCTTGCCCTTCAGAGAGATCGACAAAACATGGGAAGGAGGTATGTAGAAGTTTTTAGGTGCAAGAAGCAGAAGTATTACCATGCTATAGCTGCTGAGGTGAATGAAGGATGTTATGGCAACATTGACCACCGTGGAACCTCACCGCCAGCTCGACCGAAGAGGTCTCCGGACAAAGATAACATGGAGTATATGGAGTTCTTGAAGTTGCGTGGCCTCCCTTACTCAGTTAAAAAATCAGACATCGTGAAATTTTTTGGAGACTTTAATGTGAAGGATGACAAGATCTGCATTGCATGCCGGTCTGATGGGAAAGCTACTGGAGATGCATATGTAGAGTTTGCCACAGCTGAAGAAGCTAAGAAAGCCATGTGCAATGACAAGGTGTTGATTGGATCTCGGTATGTGGAACTCTTTCCTTCCACACCAGATGAAGCAAGAACAGCTGCATCAAGATCACGTCATTAATGAGGCCTTACTTTGATGGAAGGAGTTTCTATCTAAAATTCCTTACCCTCTCTTCCCGGCATGGTCAAGTCTCTCTCTGAATTTTGCATCTTTAGTATTTGCAAAGGGTGGGATTTTGAACTTAATTTTCCTTCTGGAACTTCTTTTGAGGTATTAATGTGGGGTTAAATATTATGCTGAAGTCCTGTTTCTTGGTTTAGGAAGTGTAGTTTGACAATTTATCCAGTGTTCATTTACCTTTCCTCTTATTCATATTGTTCTGTGTTTGGTTAACCAGGTTCCTATTAATGATCATGAACATGTTGTTCTCGACATATTAAGAGCTTGTTTGGTACAGCTCAAAAGTGAATTAAAATTGAAAATATAGTCGTTATTGGGTCCCACTCGTCTAATAAAAGTTAACAATAACGATTAATTTTTCAATTTTAATCTGATTTTAATCTCTACCGAATATGCCCTAAATGTCTAGAATGACATTTCATTCTGAACATGCAATTTCTCTACATTTGAAATGTCGTTCTCGACATTTCTCATGAGAAAAATTGCATTTATTGCAATTTGACAATTGTACTTTTTAAATAAATAGGTTATGGTTATGTGTCAAAATTTTATTGGTCAATAAAATTTTTAATAAAGTGGATATTTTTGTGTATATGTGGAATTATAAATTGTTAACAAAGGGTATTTTGGTCTAAATTATCTCAAAACGGACATTTTTGCAATGATGGACATTTTTGCAAAGGGACACAAAAAATTAGACATTTTGTGAAATTTCCTCTTAAATAAACAACAGTTATAGGTTGAGCTTCATTGCATTCTAGGTAAGTGACTTTTTCAAATATTAATAGGAGGAACGTTTTCCATATACAAATACATATTTTTTCGATTAGAATTCTTTAAAAAAAAGATGTTCCTGGCAGATCTAGCACGCGCGGCTGCTGGTGCTCGCCGGACTAGATCCGCCACTGGCTATAATAACTATGTGAGTCGATCTCTCTTCAGCTTTTTCGACTAGACATGTTGTGCTTATATATGAACTAAATTTTAAATTTAAGTCTCTTTATTTATTACATAAATACGTAAATATTTGGGGTATTACATGTTGAAAGTATAATTCTACACCGGCTAAATGTAAAGTTACGAATCGACGTAGGATTTGAATTATTCATCTCAACAAGTTTCATCTTTTAAAATGGACCACAAATCTCAATATGGTGTCAAAGATTATTAAGTTCAAATGAGCAAGTTAATCCATATAAGCTCAATTGAGTAATTGAAATCTAAATTTGGCGTGCTCATACAAGTCAATATATTGCAGAACATTTTAAGGGTTAAGCTCACATTAAGTACTTATGAAAACATTAACCGATATATAACGAATTGAGCTACTTTCAATATTTTAGCATAGAATTTCAAGACCTACACCTAGTGTACGTAGTATCGATACTCATTAAGTTCAAACAAGAAAATTGATCCGTATAAAAAGCTCAAATTTACAGTCGAGTTTAAATATGTGTCCTCAAACAAGGCGTCATCCAAGGAGATATGTTGAATGTAATCCACATCGGTCAAAAGGGTGTTCACATAGATCAATTCAATTTTAGGGTCGAGATTTTTTGTGAAATTTATTTGTCAGACATGTTGGAGGAGAATTGCTCCTAATGAGTTCGGACAAGTTTTTGTTTTTTGTTTTAAATAAAGCTTTCATAGTCAAATTACTTTCAAAGGACCAGGTTAACCATCGATGCAATTCCGAATTCGCATGAAAAAATATCGGGGGATTTTTTAAAAAGACCTAGCCAAGCCCTCGAAATCTTTTTTAGGCCTAACTTACTCCAAATAAGTTTTTAAGGCCTCTTTTATGTTAAATGTCTAAATTATCCTTTTCTATATTGTAGATATATCTAAAATGCCCTTACGATAAAATGACCATAATACCCTTTCTTCAAACATTCAGGAAAAAGTAATAAATGAAAAACAAATGCAGTTGTTTTTTCTGAAAAAGACGGTAGTCGTTTTAAACGACTAGAGTCGTTTTTCATTTCTCAAAGGCTCTTGGTCGCGATTTGCAAAGCCTATTTTTAAAAGAAAAATGACTCCAATAGTTCACATCTTATCTTTTATTATACATGATGATTTAACGTATCTAAAATCAATTGTAAGTTATATACTTAAAAATTAAATACGGTATACTTGAAAAGTATATAATGAAAAAAGATGGCAGTCGTTTTAAACGACGAGTCGTTTTTCATTTCTCAAAGGTTCTTGGTCGCGATTTGCAAAGCCTATTTTCAAAAGAAAAACGACTCTGATAGTTCACATCTTCTCTTTTATTATACATGATGATTTAACGTATCTAAAATCAATTGTAAGTTATATACTTAAAAATTAAATACGGTATACTTGAAAAGTATATAATGAAAAAAGATGGCAGTCGTTTT